AATAGTGACGATACATTAGAAACATCGAGTGATAGTGATAATTATTGATTAATGTATATAATAGTTACAGAAAATAATTTTTATGAATTCGCGTCGTCGTGTATTTGATTGATTACTATATATGTACATGTAGATCATTATTTGTATTACATGTATACTATGCGCATAGTACGCATAGTGATGAACTATGCGCGCATTTGCCCATCTCTAGTTATTATGTATAGTAAAAATGTAAGAACACATACAGTGTCTCCCATAATTATGTAATCAGGGGGGCAATTTTATTAATAAAATTGACCCCCTGATTATTATGGGAGCCACTGTCATATGAATTAACCAATTCTACGACTTAGTAGTAAAAATAAGGTATAGTTTACTTTTTAAATTTTGCTTTGAATATTAATTTCGGTTTTAATATTAATGTGTTTGAATGCGACGGTATCAGTAAACAACAATTCACAATAAAATTCAGGTTCTGTAATAGTATATAAAGTTTTGGATTCCTCTTGAAAGATTTATCAACGTTAAATATCTTGCAAAAGGAGGTTTTCGGGACAATTTATAAAGCAACCTAAAAGCAAGTGAGATTATGAATTTCTACAGTACGGATAAGAAAAAGTTATGTTGAAATATTGCACAAATTATTCCTGAATTTATAAACTAGATAAAATAAATATTTTCTAAAGTGAAAGATGCTGATACAATCAAAATAGATTCAAACTGTTCTTAAATGCAGTTATAATATTGAATATTATGGGATAACTAAAAACTCACCTACAGATGAGTGAATATTAATTCCAATTACAAAAAATTTGACTTGGGATCAAAAATTAAGTTATTTATATATATTATGTTTAAACTGAAAAATTTACAAAGAGGAATTTGGTGCATCGCAACTTTCATTCTGGAAATATATTATTATGGAAATATATTATTAATACATATACTTTGGACTTAGCATTCAAGCAGATATAACCAAGAAATTTGTAGAGGATTTCCTTGTAACCGTTCAGTGGTAATAATTGGAGAGTATTCGCTTTAATGTAAATACTTGTTAAATTATAACCATATTTATATTAATAACATAATAATATAATAAGACTATTACAATTATAATAAATTTACTAAAGATAGGTAAGATATTTATAACTTTAGGATTGTAACTACGACCATTTGGTGATTGAAGTCATAATTTCAATGGAATATGACTTACGATACCAAATAATATTTCTGAATGTTGCAAATTTATTATTGAAATGTTGAGAAACTTCTAAACTTTATCAGATCGTTCTGCGATATCGATTCGATGAGTACAAAAACGACAAAAAAGATGACGAATGACAAACGACGTCGATTATAATGAGAAGGATGATTCAAATGTAATTTACACGATTTTAATATATCAAACATTAGTATCCGTTTTTTTTGTTCAAAATTATTGAACATTAATGTAAGTTTTTATTTAATTCTTTAATTCAACATCTTTTCTTAATGGTGCAAACAGATCTGAAGAATGAGGATGTGTCGAGTGACCTGCAAATTAACTTCATTGTATTATTTTGCTCATTACTCATTGTTAAAAATGACCGGAATAAAGAATTACGAGAACAATAACGATATATTTCCAATAGATTTATTTTCGCTTTCATAAATTCTTTTATCCTATTGTTTTTTGACAACTAAAAAATTACTATACTGTATATAGAAATATAGCCAAAAAATTGTACGTTAACCGATTAAGAATTCTTAACAGGGTCCATATGCATGTATATCCATATATATATATATATATATATATATATATTATAAGTATTACTGGCATAAAATCTTGCGTGGGAGGGGAGGAGTTACTAATACATATCAAAATAATTTACATGTTTATTATATCGAGTTTACATGTGTCGCAGATTAAAAATGTAATTTTATGTAATTTTGGCCAAGTGTTCTATAATACGCATAACTTTAGCCAAAATTATAAAATAATAAAATTGCTAATATAATACTTTTAATTTGTCACAATAATTACATGACTTAGAGTTCCGTAAGCTGAATTAACATTTTTTTTTGCTTTTTTTTGCTCTTCTCTTTCTTTCACACATACGTGTATGCCTCAAGCATTGGACGTTTTATTGGGGGAACGTTGTTTTCTTGTAATCGAATATTCGTGTCGAAAAATTATAAGAAACTTTGGCATTATTGCTTGTCAACGTCACGAGAACAGTACCGGGCGAGATGATAATATTGTTGCTGTTCTTACGACCTGATGACCGTTCAATAGCATCATGATAAGGATGGTCTCTAATCGTTTGTGTCGTTACGAGAGGAAGCATTTTAGAGAGAGATGTATTATTTTATTATTTATGTGAAGCGTAAATACTATTTTATTGTTTACTTAAATGATAAGATACGTAACAGGATTTACAAATCAGTTTTTTACTAGTTTATATATTTTTTACATACGTATTGCTATATATTTGCCGAAGATATTTATTATTATAAGTATTATAGTACCAAACATTGTATCGAATATTGTTAAAGAGTGTGCTAAACAGATAATGTGCATGTATTAAATAATAAAGCGTATTAGTAATCCAACTAATTACATGTAGTGGGCTGGTAAAGCTATTCTATATTTTTTTTATTACTATTGTTGTCATTATTATTTTTTTCTTGGTATTCCAGGCGAGTGATGTAGGATGGTCTTTAATCGTCTGTGTTGTTACGAGAGGAGGCATTTAGAGTGAGATGAATTATTTACTTTTTATGTGGAAGTTTGAGGAAAGAGAAAAAATTTTACAAATTTTCGTGAAATAATATTTTTTCGTTAGTTCTTATACTTTTTACTTTACGTATCGCTATATATTTGCCGAAATTGCATATACTATTTTATGATTATAAGTATTATTATAGGATTAAACTATTTACAATCCATAAGGCAATGTCGATGAACTACAAAAATAAATAAATCGTAAACTGTTTTATCTATTATCGTTATACAAATATCAACAAAGTTTAACAGCCAGGCAGGAGTTCAATCCTAATTCATGCCTCGAAGCGATGATCCATGGCAACTCATACAGGGACCCATGACCAATTCTTCAATGTCATTGGTTCACATATCAATCAATTTTTCCAGGTGGAATGAGATGAAAATACCACGAATCAATAAAGACCAGTGATAGGATTCGAATATGTAAAAAATTTCAAGTTAATTAATAAAAACATGCTGTATTTACAATTATTATGCCGCATCCAATCCATGTCATATTCTATACATCGTCACTATTCTTAATCAAACTAAATCAGTCAACCAAGCACATGTAATATCTTAAAAAGGAAATGAGTTAATTAAATATCGATATTCCCACACATGTAATAAATTGTACCCTGTATTAAAGAATGTACCGATCCTTTGTATACAT